TTATTAATTGTCACATTTAAATTTTTAACTTCTATCACTTAGGGAATGTTAAATCTTTAAAAGGAAATAATCACTGCGCTTAAAAACATCCTATGCTAGGATTCCTTTATTTAGAATTTTGGTTTGAGATTGTTCATTCAAAGAAAATCCCTTGTTTCATGTTTACTGTAAACCTCAATCTGAAATTAACATTTAAATGCCAACGTTAGTAACAGAAGCAGTACTTGAATACCACCAATTTTATCCATTGCTGCTAGTTAAGTGGAATTCACCAAAGTCTCCAAAGGTGATAATACAATTAAAAGCAAGAAAATGAATACAATAGTTGGTAGAATTACTTCGCCTTTCTTTGCAGTCTAAAGAATTACAAAATTTGTAATTACCTTTGCACAAAAGAAAATAGCACAACATATGAAGAGGCATGGTGTCCAGGAGATGCACTGACATGACCTTTGATGCTGCTACCTGTACTTGCATAACATGTAAATATATAGCATGCAAACTCCTGATCAAGAAGTGACCACATGTTAAATGTGGAAACTTTTAAATTATCCAGTACATTGCATTTGGATAGGTGTTAAAAATACAGATTTGAACAGTATATTAAAGAATAGGAGGGAAAAGAAAACTTTACTCTTTCTCAGTATAATTTAAGGGTTAGCATGTAAAGATACATTAGCATTTTTAATATGGGTTCTGTAGACATGCTATATCCTTCATAATTGAACATGGATAGAAATAATTTGTTGGATCTAAGGCAGACTGCCATTTAAAACACACTACGTGCAAAGGTCAACACACAAGAGTCGCATTTTATTTTGTGTAGAGTGACCATTTTGCTGCTCCCTTCCCAGAAATGAAGCAAATATGCACTATTAGAATGTATTTCAGTGAAGACTGTTAATGATTTAAACCCACATAAACAAAAGGCAGACAAGCATCAATGTATTTTAAATGGATAATCTGGAGATGTATTATTCTACCTATTGAGTATCACTAAGTTATTGCAATTTTCCTGTTTTCAGTTGCATTGTTTAGCTGCAGCATGTATTCTTTTGCACATAGGTAAAGATCAAAGCTTTCTCAACAAAGACACAATCTGAAAATGGAGTAGAAATTGCTATGAGAAATTTGCTTTCTGGAAAGAAGTGAGTTTCCCCACTCTACAGCTCCAAGTCCCAATATCAATTCATGTTTTCTAATATAGTATGCATTTTATATAAAGTCTGTGCTTTTTCTGTTATTCCTGGAATTCATTCTTCTGATGATTATATCCAACTGGTAATGCAGTTTTGTAAATGAAAGACTTTTTCTTGTTCAGTGCCTTGTTTTACTCACTAAACTTATGATACGATTTTGCATGTTTTATAAAAAAAAAAAGTGAAATTTAAAGCAAGCATTCAAAAATCTTAGCATTATTGTTGGAACTGATTATTTTGTAGTAAAAATTTAAGGTGAATACCTCTTTATTTTTGTTAATGAAGCTCAAGTGCTATGCACTAATGTATGTTAAGATTTTCTTGAGGAATTCCTTAAACTTTGAAAAACAATTTGCATTTGGAGAGTGTAATTTTCTGTCACTTATGCATTCACTCTATTTGAAAAAGTATCTAAAATCTAAAAAAAAAAAAGAAAACATAATCTTCTTGTATGTTTCTTATAATCTATCTCCTTGTTTACTTCCTAGGTTTTGTAGGTTTCTTTTAAGAGAATTGGATTTTCTCCTTGCATTTAGATTAACAATGAAATTATTCATTCTTACTCACTGAATTATATTCCTCTCTAATTATTTTAATCCCTTATATATCACTATAAGAAGGACAGGCTTCTTTTTTTAAAAAGAAAATTGGCCTTCTGTGTCATGTCAGTCCTTATTAAATACTACAATCATAAGAACATATATGCTACAAGATTTTATGTTCTGATTCCATAGCTGTTACAGGCTTAGTGTTTGCAGTATTTATTTAGTGGTAATGCATTTCTTTTCCTATTTTGCATTTCAAAGGTCTTCTCTAAATGATTGTTTTACAGAACTATCAAGAGGTTATCTAAATTTTTCCATCAAATATTACACAATACCATAAGGCGGTAGTCATGGAGTTTCTTTCAGTCCATGTACATTCTTTCTATAGAAAGAATTAAACAGAAATCCATAAAAAGACAACAAATGTTTCATTAAATAATTGCATGTATTAGGCTTGACTGAATTTTGACCAAAGCAAAATTTTAGGCTGTTCAATACTGAGCTCGTGTGTTACATGGTGTGAGATTAAAAATATTTTTATTTGAAAACTATACAGTAGGTTTTTCACGAATATACTCTTGTTGCCATGGTGCAACTTTAATCATGTTGTTGCAAAGTGATTAATTTTCTTTTTTTGGTGATGCTTCTTCATAAAACTAAAAATTGAGCCTTAAAATAGCTAACATTAAAAAAAAAAAAAAAAAAGAGAGAGAGACCCGGGAATTGTACTAGTTGCTTTTCAAAGATGACATTGCAGGAAGACCTTCTAAATTAATTAAAAAAAAAAAAAAAAGAAAATAAAGCTGTGAGAAAAATTTACAATTGTTTGTTACAATACTAGTTTTACTAAATGTATAAATTAATCCTACAAATTAAAATATATTTAATATATTTTCATTTTAAAAGGATATTTATTTTAATTTACCTGTCAGGGAAATAAAGGACAGATTTGCTGCTGTACTGTGACTTTTTTTTTTTTTTTTTTTTTGGTCAGGGTTAACAGAATCATTGAGATGCTTTTTAAATTAGATGTCATTTTCTTGACAGGAATGAAGAAGGGCTGGGACACTGTATCTATAAGCTTCAAATAATTTGCGTTTTTTTGAAACACCAGGATATATCAATTGCTTTATTTCCTTACAAAGTAATTGCTTGCACCTGCAATTTTCAGGGTATTTTTTTACAAGCTTTTAAAGTAATAAAAATAGTGTTGCAAGTATGTTTTATAATGTAAATAGTTTTATGTTCAAATTTGTATTCTTCAGTGTTGAGATAGGACATTTGGGCGTGGGGTGGGTTGTTTTTTTGAGAGCAATCTCTGAATGATTTTACACAAACTGAAGAATACTACATTCCAGTCCCCCCTGCCTCCATTTTTTTACATGTGCCTTAAAAATTTCTAAACTCTCAGGGATATTGGAACATCTATTTACAGAGAAATGTTTAGAATGCGTCTCAAATGGCTGCGTTACTCGCTTATTTGTCTGGGCCTTTCATCTAGGAAGCCACCTTAATCATTCCTTTTTTGCCTGCCCTCCATTCTTCCTCTATCTAAATAATTTCACTTAAAACTTTCAAGGAGAGAAAAGAGCTTGACCTAAGATATCCTGCATACAAACTGCAGACTCAGATGTCTCTAGGGGGTAGAGAGTTGTGCACATCCCACCTCTCCCTTCCACGTAGCAGTTCGTCATATTCCTGTACACAAGTGCAGATGTTTTATTAGTTAACAATGTATAAAATATAACCTGCATATATATAGGTCTAGGTAGCCACGTGTCCAGGAATGTACATAATTCAATAGTGATTTGTACAGATACTGTATCAACTAAGCTGGCCTTGCAACATCATCATGAAAAAATATAATGCATGCAGAAATTCTGCTTCTCTGCCTTTTAGCATGATAATAAAGATAAATCAATTGTATCTTCCTTGTCCAACACTAAATAAAATAAATAAACAAACAAACAAACAAATGCTGGCCCCAGGGCAAGCGAGTGAGCAGAATTTTGCAAGGCTGCATTTAATTTCTCTGTGCTCCTTACAATCACCACTATTAGTTCCTTCTGCTACAGGCATACCTGCTTACAATGGAGAATTGAATAGCCTGAGATTTTCCTCTCTGCTGACCACCTCAGCTCTCGCCCCCCCTTTTTTCCCCTCCCCTTTAATTAAACGAAAAAACAGAATTATTTTACTAAAAAACCCCCAAACGCCCAACTTCTAGAACATATCCACCTCTGAGTAAAAGTCGAGAACAGCTGTGCTGAAGAACGTGTTAGTTTTTCTGTGTCTGTGGCCTCCCTGGTTTCTCTATTTGTCATATCTTCTATTCAGCATCACTTTCGCTGCTGTGGCAGCAATAGCCAGGCAGCGCTGCATCCACACGATGAGTTTTGGGGGAGAAGAAAGAGCGGGATTAATAATGCATTAGTTTTGCAGCCCCATTGAAGGGAAAATAAACAAAATAGTAAAAGTTGCGCTGAGGGCGGGGCAGTGGCGCGATAGGGAGAATGCATTAGTCCTGCAGGTACACCGAGGGGATATAAACAGGATAATAAAAGTTGGGAGCGGGAATGGATTAGTCCTGCAGTCACATCGGGGGGAAAATAAACAAGATAGTAAAAATGATTTCTGCGGGGTGGGAGGAGGGCGGGAATGGGGCGAGTCCTCCAGCCTTCCTGAAGGGGGCATGAGCAGAGTGACATCGCGGGTGGGAGCGGGGCGCATGTCTGCCACCTCCCCCGCCCCCCCACACGCACCGAGGGGAGGGGGGCAGCAATAAGCCCGTCTAACGCTCGCCCGGGCTGGGAAGGGAGGCGGTTTCGCACGGGCTGCCCCGCGGCGCGGCCCGGCCGGCGGCCCCGGCACGGAGCGCGTTAGGGCCAGGCCGGCCGGGGGGGGGCGAGATGGCTCGCCCGGGGGACGGAGAGTGGCAGCACGCCGAGGTGGGTGCCCGAGCGGGGACGGCGCGGCTCGCAGGCCGGG